CACAGGCGCGTGACATAGTCGTGCCTCCTGAGGGCCTCTTGGAAACCTCTTGGGTCTTCGTGGGGGCATCTGAAGGGCTTCTGGGGGGCCCTCCATGCTTCCTCAATTGGCTGTTGCAGGCACATCTTGGGTGCTTCTCGGGGGACATCTTGGGGCTTCTTGGGGTCCCTTGGGGGCATCGTCAGGGTTCTCCGGGCAGTCGGAAAGTGAAGTTCTGCAGCCTAAAGCAGACAATTGGCTGTCTTGGCTGCGTAAAGGCCCGGCTTGAGGCCACATTGGGGCAATCCGGAAGCCTCCCGGGGCCTCCTTGAAGCAATTTTGATTGGCCCCGTGTACGTCTTCTGTGAGCCTTTTGTGCCCTGGTGGGGGGCTTTGGTGGGCCTCGTCGAACCACTTGGAGACTCTTGGGGCCTCCTGTGGGCCTCTTAGGGCGAAAGGCTCTGCTGTTGGGTTCGCGTTCACCTTCTTGGGGCTCTCTTGGGGCCCTCTTGGGGCCCTCTCGGGCCGTCTTGGGCGCCTCGGGCACCGTCTTGGGGCCCTCGTGGGCCGTCTTGGGGCTCTCTTGGAGGCCTCTGCGGTTGTTGGGGGCCTCTTGGGCCGTCTTGGAGCGTCGGGAAGCCAAAAGGCTGGGAACTTTAAAATCCATCAAAAGCCGATGGGAAAACATTGCTTCTTGGAACCTCTTCGGCCTTCTGGGGAGCTTCTTGAGGGCCTCTTGGGTCCCATTTGGGGGCCTCTGGGGCTTCCTGAGAGCCTCTCGGGGTGGAAGGCTCGGATTTTCGGTTCGTCTTACCCCTCTCTTTTTTTCCCCCATATCCCAAGATGGGGTTCTTGTTATTACTTGGACGCCTCCTACTCCCTCTCCTCCTTCCTCCTCCTCTTTCCTCCTCCCCTCCTGTCGGACTTACTCATTTGAGAAAGTTTCTGCGGAACTACCGTCATCCTCACCCCCGGCGCGGGGAGCACAGGAGCCCAGAGCGGCCTCCGGCACCGTTTCCGGACAGATCCGCTGGATCCGCCGACGAATCCCAAACCGGCGCCCTCGCTTAAGACATCCTCACAAAACCGGCCCCGGGGGAGGTACCCAGAGGAGCCCAGATCAGCCTCCGGCACCGTTTCCGGACAGATCCGCTGGATCCGGTGGATCCGCCGACGAATCCCAAACCGGCGCCCTCGCTTGAGACATCCTCACAAAACCGGCCCAGGGGGAGGTGCCCAGAGGAGCCCAGAGCAGCCTCCGGCACCGTTACCGGACAGATCCGGTGGATCCGCCGACGAATCCCAAACCGGCGCCCTCGCTTGAGACATCCTCACAAAACCGGCCCCGGGGGAGGTGCCCAGAGGAGCCCAGAGCAGCCTCCGGCACCGTTACCGGACAGATCCGGTGGATCCGCCGACGAATCCCAAACCGGCGCCCTCGCTTGAGACATCCTCACAAAACCGGCCCCGGGGGAGGTACCCAGAGGAGCCAGAGCAGCCTCCGGCACCGTTTCCGGACAGATCCGGTGGATCCGCCGACGAATCCCAAACCGGCGCCCTCGCTTGAGACATCCTCACAAAACCGGCCCCGGGGGAGGTGCCCAGAGGAGCCCAGAGCGCCTCCGGCACCGTTTCCGGACAGATCCGGTGGATCCGCCGACGAATCCCAAACCGGCGCCCTCGCTGAGACCATCATACAAAACCTCCCCGGGGGAAGTGGGGAAGTTGCCCACGAGGAGCCAGAAGCGGCCCTCGCCACCGTTTTCCGGACAGATCCGCTGGATGATCCGCCGACGAATCCAAACCGGCGCCCTCGCTTGAGACATCCTCACAAAACCGGCCCCGGGGGAGGTGCCCAGAGGAGCCCAGAGCGGCCTCCGGCACCGTTTCGGGACAGATCCGGTGGATCCGGTGGATCCGCCGACGAATCCCAAACCGGCGCCCTCGCTTGAGACATCCTCACAAAACCGGCCCCGGGGGAGGTGCCCAGAGGAGCCAAGAGCGGCCTCCGGCACCGTTTCCGGACAGATCCGGTGGATCCGCTGGATCCGCTGGATCCGGTGACGAATCCCAAACCGGCGCCCTCGTTTGAGACATCCTCACAAAACCGGCCCCGGGGGAGGTGCCCAGAGGAGCCCAGAGCGGCCTCCGGCACTGTTTCCGGACAGATCCGGTGGATCCGCTGGATCCGGTGACGAATCCCAAACCGGCGCCCTCGCTTGAGACATCCTCACAAAACCGGCCCCGGGGGAGGTGCCCAGAGGAGCCCAGAGCGGCCTCCGGCACCGTTTACGGACAGATCCGGTGGATCCGCTGGATCCGCTGGATCCGGTGACGAATCCCAAACCGGCGCCCTCGCTTGAGACATCCTCACAAAACCGGCCCCGGGGGAGGTGCCAGCACCGTTTCCGGACAGATCCGCTGGATCCGGTGGATCCGCCGACGAATCCCAAACCGGCCCCGGGGGAGGTGCCCATGGAGCCCAGAGCGGCCTCCGGCACCGTTCTGGACAGATCCGCCGGTGGATCCGCCGACGAATCCCAAACCGGCGCCCTCGCTTGAGACATCCTCACAAAACCGGCCCCGGGGGAGGTGCCCAGAGGAGCCCAGAGCGGCCTCCCGCACCGTTTCCGGACAGATCCGGACAGATCCGGTGGATCCGCGCCCCGGGGGAGGTGCCCAGAGGAGGAATGAGGAGGAGGAGGAGGAGGAGGAGGAGGAGGAGGAGGAGGAGGAGGAGAAGCTGATGGAGCTGCGGGGTGGAGGAGGACAGACGGAGGCAAGAGAAGGATGGAGGAGGAGGAGGAGGAGGAGGAGGAGGAGGAGGAACCTCATCCTCACCCTCGCCAACAGGCGCACGCACCTTCTTCTATATACAGAAACTCCCGATCAACCGCAGAGCGGCCGGCTAGTACACAGACTTACTCATACCCAGACTTACTCATACACAGTATTACTCATACTCAGACTTACTCATACCCAGACGTACACATACACAGAGTTTCTCATACACAGACCTACTCATACCCAGAATTACTCATACACAGACTTACTCATACACAGACTTACGCATACTCAGGCATACTCATACTCAGACCTACTCATACTCAGATTTACTCAACACACATAAGATTTGTGAGGATGTCTCAGGCGGGGCGCTGGTTTCAGCACCCCTAAGGTGAGCCGCCAGGGGTGGTTGCACGGGCTCGTTCGCGGCCATTTTGTGGGGATGTCTCAGGCGGTTTGCCTGTTTCTGTGCCCAACATCCTTCGCTTTCGGAGCAGATTTGGAGGATGTCTCGAGCGAGGCGCTCATTTCAGCACCCATAAGGGGAGCCGCCAGGGGTGGTTGCACGGGCTCGTTCGCGGCCATTTTGTGGGGATGTCTCAGGCGGTTTGCTTGTTTCTGGGCCCAACATCCTTCGCTCGGAGAGCAGATTGTGAGGATGTCTCAGGCGGGGCGCTGGTTTCAGCACCCCTAAGGGGAGCCGCCAGGGGTGGTTGCACGGGCTCGTTCGCGGCCATATTGTGGGGATGTCTCAGGCGGTTTGCCTGTTTCTGTGCCCAACATCCTTCGCTTTCGGAGCAGATTTGGAGGATGTCTCGAGCGAGGCGCTCATTTCAGCACCCCTAAGGGGAGCCGCCAGGGATGGTTGCACGGGCTCGTTCGCGGCCATTTTGTGGGGATGTCTCAGGCGGTTTGCTTGTTTCTGGGCTCAACATCCTTTGCTTGGAGAGCAGATTGTGAGGATGTCTCAGGCGGGGCGATGGTTTCAGCACCCCTAAGGGGAGCCGCCAGGGGTGGTTGCACGGGCTCGTTCGCGGCCATTTTGTGGGGATGTCTCAGGCGGTTTGCTTGTTTCTGGGCCCAACATCCTTCGCTTGGAGAGCAGATTGTGAGGATGTATCAGGCGGGGCGCTGGTTTCAGCACCCCTAAGGGGATTTTCTTCCCCTTCATAAGCCGCCAGGGGTGGTTGCACGGGCTCGTTCGCGGCCATGTTGTGGGGATGTCTTAAGCGGTTTGCTTGTTTCCGGGCTCAACATCTTTCGCTTGGAGAGCAGATCGTGGGGATGTTTCAGGCGGGGCGCTGGTTTCAGCACCCCTAAGGGGCAGCCGCCAGGGGTGGTTGCACGGGCTCGTTCGCGGCCCATTTGTCGGGGATGTCTCAGGCGGATCGCTTGTTTCTGGGGCCCAACAACCTTCGCGTGGAGAGCAGATGTGCATGATGCCATAAGCGGGGCGCTGGTTGCAGCACCCCTATGGGGTGCCGCCAGGGGTGGTTGCACGGGCACGTTCGCGGCCATATTGTGGGGATGTGTCAGGCGGTTCGCTTGTTTCTGGGCTCAACAGGGAGGGAAATGACAGGAACGAGGATGAGGAGGAGGAACAGGATGAGGAGGAGGAGGCGGGGGATCGTGAGGAAGGGCATGGGGGTGCGGAGGGGGAGGGGGGGCACGAGGATGAGGAGGAGGAGCAGGAGCAGGAGAAGGGAGGGGGCGGAGGAACAGGAGGAGGAGGAGGGCGCTTCGCTCGAAGGTCCTTGACGCGAGCAGAACGTTTGTTCCGAAGTCCAGGATATATATATATATATATATATATATATATGTATATATATATGTATATATTCATAGGGGGTGACTGCGAGGGGGGGGGCGGTGGTTGTGTGCAGGGATCGTTGGAAATGCTCACCGTGGCACTATCCTCCAACATGACATGCACTTATGGCCTTGTGTGGCTAAACGCTCGTCTTACATACCCCACTGCCAACTATCCTACAACATATGCACATATGGGAAGCTCCAAAGCTACCACGGGCTGAAAAGGGGAAGGCCTGGCAGCTGAGGAGGGGGGATGAAGAGGAAGAGGCTCGCATTCAACCATACTCAAAGCTCACTCTGACTCATACGCAATCACTCGCATTAGGGATCACTCGTTTTCGTCGGCCCTGTCGCCCACGTGGACGCGCTATTGTAGTCGACCGCTCATGACAGACGCTCACCACGGCATGACATAAAACATGAGATGCACATATGGGGAGCTCCACGCAGTGAATATTTTTTTTGTTCCCCAGAGGCGCTCTCTCTTCAACCCTCGAATACATGACCGAAGAGCCTGCGGGAGGCCAACAACCACCGAAGGCCACCTCCTAGCACACGAACGACGGAGCCACCAGGGCCAGAAACCGCCTTCCGAGCGCCAGGGGGAGGGCAGGGAAGCTGTCTGCCACGAGCGAGCAGCAGTGAAAGACACCGCAGGTGGCCCTCGGACCGCCCGCAGGCCGCGCGAGAGCCGTCGCGCCGAGCGGGCGGGCGACTCGAGCCCCTCAATCGGGGCACGATCGCGCAGCTGTAGAACTTGACGGCGCGCGCCTGCATCTCTGGCGCTATGATGAGACGAAGGGCCGGGGTTTCCGGGCGACTCGCGGTCGGAGGAGGGCTGTGTCCGTCTTGGGCCGGTCATGGGATGTCGCAGGGCTTCCTTGGATGTTCTTGGCCTGTCTGGCCAAACGTGTGCGGGAAGCACGAGGGATGACGAGGGACGGGGCAAAAACTGCCCTGAAATAGAATGCACGCGCTGCCACGCGTGCAGGCGGAGCACGTGCAGAAGAAACGAGGAAATGCCAGAGGACGGAGAACAAACTGCCTTAAAGCATAATTCACGCGCTGTCACGCCAGGTGGCGGAGCACGTGCAGCAGGGAGGATGAAGGACAGAGACAGGAGGCAGAAAATATATGGAAGGCACAGGAACTCTCTTGAGGTGTCTCGGGTCCTGCTGGGACTTGCCCGGACCGTTTTCGTCATGCCTCCTCACGGTGTGATAGCATACCATCCACTCCGATACAATATAAATATATCTATATATATGCACGAATATACGTATATTCAGCGCCGCTGAATCTGACATCCCGCTGACGCGCTGCTTGCCTGCACATGCGTTCATGGAGGTATTAGAAGCAATGCCTCGAAAGGTCAGAGGGCCTGCAAGAGTTGGCTGCTTGAAACAATTCCCGAACCGCTTTGGCGGGTTTTGGGCGAGTCGCCTCCGCAACTGGAAACCGAGCTTGTTCGGCCCATGCGATTTGTGGACGAGGTTCCTTCGAGGTCTGAAGGCGTACTGGTTAAGCTCGGGCGCGAGTCTCGGGTCAGATCTTGCTCGAGCTTGCCATAGATAGACGCAAGTTTATGCTGAGAATCCGAGAGCTCCTTGGAAAATCGCCGGCGTTCACGCTCGGAACGGCGTGCGCAAGAATTGCGCATATCCCAGTCGCCTATGAAACATCGAACAAGTGCGGGGCCTACAAGAGGCACACGAGCGACGTTGGCAGGCCCTGCCAGCGTGAGTAACAGCACCAAGGGCCCCATGACCAGAGCAATGGAGAACACGAAGGCACAAATGCTGACAGCCCTTATCGGTAAGCAAACGAGCAAAGTGACGACAGACGTCGCTGCAAATGCCTTCCGGTCTGTGCTCAACACGAAAACAAACAAGACTGACCAAGTCACTCCTTGAAGGATGCAGATGAAAGCCGAGATGCCATGATCCACAGTGCAGACGTCGCTCCCAGTCGAATGAGCAGGAAGCCACACCCAAATTCCACCCACATGCCCGACTATCGAAGCCAAATTCCAATTGGTAACATTACCCAATTTGCCGACTCGCTGCGCCGTGTCGCGCAAGAGCTTGGTGGAGAGACCTGTGCAAATCAGACATTCCACGCTTTGGTCTACAGCGATCTCTTGGGTTTCCTCCTGTAGTTCGCCGCGAATCAGTTCGCCGTCTGCAGGCACAGAACACTGTGCGTCACGAATGTGGCCCGTGTAGCCCAACGACAGATTCACTTTCTCTCGAACGGCAACGACCGCCCATAAACGGTCAGCTTCCACGCAGAGGCCGAAAGCCAAAAACAGCAGGGCGCCAAACCAATTCATTGAGTACGTCATGTCCACTTGCCATACGAAGCCCACGCCGATACCACCAAAAAGGACCGCCACGCAACTAGAACGGCGGCAAGCAGTGCCCCATGGGATTTTCATGTGGTATTTCCAGGTCGTCGTGGTACAACACAATACCAAAATCAACAGGTTCCTGACAAGTAACGCGAAGTGCTCGAAGGCGATGAAAGTAAGAAGAAGAAGGCACGCAGCGCCAATGCTTAGCCCAACGAGGCATACACCGAGTTGGGATGCGACGCGATGCCAAAAGTCATGAATTGGACTTGTCGCGCAGAAGATTCGCTTGTCCAAGGTGTATGCCAAGTGGGCCTCGTAAGTGCACCAAACCCTGCTATAAATACTTTCTCTGCGGTTGGACACGACCATCATGTCCGTTGCCGAGCGTAGCGCGCGGGCAAACGGAGAATCGTTTGGGCTCGATACGAGACGCGCAATATCGAGGTTCTGTGGGTTAGACAGGAAACATAGATACACATGTCGTTTCCCAGCAGGCCACGAGTAGATGACTTTGTCGACAAGCTCATAAATGCCTTCTTTCCAGCTATGTGTAATGAAAAGGTCACACGCGAGGCCATCTGGGTGAAGCATCAGCGCCCAGCTCGGATTCCCTGCGCGGGCAGTGACGGGTGTGACGTACTGATCGGTGACGCTGTAAACGCATGGTCCTATCACGTCATCTCTTGGATCGAACAGGTCTGCTTCCGTGGGCTGGATGCGTCCATCCAAAACTGCCCGCCGCACTAATCTCCTGAACTGCTGCAGGTCCGCCCGCGTAACGCACCAACGATGTGGAGGAATGCTGTCATGCAATCGGCCTCCATCTAGCACGTTGGTCGAGTTCTCCACGTTCTCATCCTGCGCTATTATCTTGGCTGGCCTGTGGACATACCCATGGCAAACTCGACATCCTTTCCACAATATTGCTCCTGTGGCGAATGCGATTGCAGTCAGAATGGAAGCGACAAACATATGCGTGCTGCTGTAATCTCCACAAGCATCTCTATCAAACGTGAAACGGGCAAGTTTGCTTGTGTTGTATGGGTCGTCTTCCGTACAACATGTGAAGCGATAAAACCGTGGTGCAAAAGCTGATACATGCGAAGGTTTGTCAATAACGCGCCAGACGCCCTTCTCGCATGAGCATGGCTGTGATTCTGTTCCAGCCAAGCAGTCTCTGGCATAATCCCGGCACCACTGCGGGTTACAAGTGACGCCCGCCTCGGAGGACGCAAGGGCGGGTTGAAACTCAGAGAAGCCAAATAAGCACAAGCATAATAGCACCAATCTCATCACCGCTCGCTGGTTTTTCCAGCCAGAGCGATGTCGACCGCCAGGTCAGAAAACGCACAACCGATGTGGGGATCCTCTGACGAGGCGCGAGCCGCAAAGGTTGCGCTGGTCACTTGCTCATCACCGGGGCCCCAACGATGAAGCCAAAAGTGGCTTGAGTCACAATGGCTTGAGCCAAAATGGCTACGGAGGTTCGTCTTACCCCTCTTGGGCCCCCCTTGCGGCTGTATTGGTGCCCTCTCGGGCTGTCTTGGGCCCTGTTGGAGGCCTCATGGGCTATCTTGGATTGGTCTTGGAGGCCTTTTGGGCCGTCTTGGAGCGTCAGGACACCAAAAGGCTGAAAACTCTAACATCAATCAAACACTTACGGCAAGACATGGATTTGTGCCTCTTGGGGCCTTCGTGGGAGGCCTCTTGGATACGCTTCGGCCCCCTGGGGGGGCTTCTTGGGGCCTCTTGCAGCCTGTTAGGGCTTCGCGGGGCCTCCTGAGAGCCTCTCGGGATGGAAGACTCGGATTTTCGGGTCGTGTCAACCCTCCATCTTGGGGCCGTGTTGGGGCCCTCTCGCTCCGCCTTGGACGCCTCTGGAACCGTCTTGGGACCCCCGTGGGCTGTCTTGAGACCGTCTTCGAGGCCTCTGGGGATGCCTTGGAGCGGAAATTGAAGCCTCTTGGGCCGTCGAGGGCGTCAGGAAACTCAAAAGGCGAGAACTCGAAAATCGATCAAAAACCAAAGGAAAACAAATTAGTTGTGCCTCCTGGGGCTCCTTGGGAGCCATCTTGGAGACCTCTTGGGGCGTCTTGGAAGCCTCTTGGACAGTCAGGGACCAATTCTGGGGTGATCTCGGGCGGTCATTGGTCGTGTTCGTTGTGTGGAAACGCCATTTCTGGCAATCCAGGGTCGTCTTCTGGCGACTTTACAAAGCCCCCAGCGCCACGGCAGGGCCCCCGGGCCTCCCGGCGCGAGGGCCCCATCCCGGGCCCCACCTCGTGCCCGCGGCAGGGCGTCCCTGGGCCGTCTCGGCGCCCTCGTGGGCCGTCTCGGCGCCCTCGTGGGGTGTGTCCATCAAAAATCGAAGGACAATCAATGATTTTGGCGTCCCTTTGGGCCGTGTTGGAAGCCTTGTGGGCCGCCTGGGGGCCATCTTGGGCGCGTTCGAACGATATGTCCTCGTTTCGGGGCCTCCTGGGGGCCTCTTGCGGCCCTTTTCGTTTGTGTTGGGGCTTTCTTGGGCCGTGTGGGGGCGGCCCTGGGCTGTCTCGGCGCCCTCTTGGAAGCCTGTTTGGGAGATTTCTGGGAGTCCTGGACCGTCCTCCTTCAACGTCGGCGGCACTGACCGTAAGACTTCCTGGGAACATGATTTGTTGGGGTGTCGTTGGGCGCCTCCGGAGGCTTCGGAACCTGACGCGTTTCCGAGCGTGACGGCAGGTAGCGCTGCTTGGGGCTCTCGTGTTTTTACCCTGGCGGGCGTTTAGGGAACATGGTTTGGGGAGAAGGCGGCAACCCGAGAATCATGTTCCCGGGAAGCTTTCCGGGAACATAATTTGTTCGGCTCTCCTAACAGGGGGGCCTCTGGGGGCTTACCGAGGGGCTTTTTTTGGCCTTGTCGGCGAGCCTATTAGAAACATGGTTGGGGCGGTGGACGGAAGCCCAAGGAATCATGTTCCCTGAAAGCTCTGGGAAATACGATTTACCGAAGTCTCTTGGGGGCCCGCAGGGGGCCTCCCTGGGGCCCCTTGGGAACTCATTGGGGCTTCCGGGGGGCCTCTTGGGAGCCTCACGGGGCTTCTTGGGAGCCTCTTGATGGCCTCCGGGGGCGTCCTAGGAGCCTCTCAGGCTGGAGACCTTGAAATGTCGCGCTCTTCGGCCCTCTTGGGTCGCTCTTGGGGCTCTCTTGGGGCGCTCTCGAAGCCCTGTTGAATTATCTGGGGAGCCTCCTGGGCCGTCTCTGGTCTTTCTTGGGGGCCTCTTCGGCCGTCTTGGAGCGATCTGAACGGCCTCTGACGCCGTCCGGGACCGTGGGGAGGCGGAACATGCGATAGCGCAAAAATGCGGGGCCCTGTGGAGGGGCCTCTGGAGGCGCTCTTGGGGCGTTTTGGCGGCGTCGTCGGCCGTCCTGAGGCCATCTTCGGCGTGTCCGGGGCCTCTTGAGGCTGTCTTGGCAAGCTTTAGGGCCCTCTTGGCGTGTCGTGGCGCGTTTGGGAGCGGACCTGGGCAGTCCCGGGAGCGCTGGGGGCTGTTGAATGCTAGGTGTTGTCTTGGAGGCGGAGGCTGTTGAGTGCAGGGTGGCGCGTGCTACGCGGAAGGCGGGCGAGCGGCCAGGCGGGCGGCGGGCGGGCGGGTGGCGGGCGGGCGGGCGGGTCGGGATTTGAATGAATTCCTTAAGGGTGCTCTCTTGCAGCGGGAGCTTGTTGAGCACAGGGTGTTGCCTTGAAGACGGGGGCTGTTGACTACAGGGTGTTGTCTTGGAGACTGAAGCTGTTGAGCACAAAGTGGTGCGTGCTACGCGGACGGCGAACGGGCGGCGGGTGCCCTAGGTGGTGGGTCAGAGGCCTCATGGGTGTTGGTTTGGATCTCGTGGTTGGCCTGTCGGGAACGTCGTGAACGCAGTTTCGCATCTTCTCGGTGACCGTTTTGGGGCCGTAGTGGGGCCTTCCTCGGGGCTGTTTTGTGACCTTTTGAAGCCTCGTTTGGGCCTCCTGGGTGCCTCTCGGGGGCCTCCTGGGGCCTCTTGGGGGCTCCTTGGGGCCTCCTGGGGCACTCTTCAAGCGGGAGGGTAGAATTTTGGATTCGTGGTCCCCTCTTGGGCGCATCTTGGGGCCGTCTTGGGGCTCTCTTGGGCTGTCTTGGGCGCCTCTGGGGTCGTCTGGTGGCCCTCTTGGACCGTCTTTGGGCGCTCTTGGGGGCCTATTGGGCCGTCTTGGAACGTCGGACAGCCGAAAAGGCTAAATCTCTCCAAAACCTTTGAAAAATTACCGATGTCGGCCACTTGAAGCGCTCTGGAGAGGCTGGAGCACTGGACCCAGGACCCCCGGAGGAGCCTCCGAAAGTCGAAGGGCGACAAGAACATCGGCGGGAGGCGAGCCGAGAAGTCGAAGGGGCGAGCGCGGTCCCAAGGGGTGACCGGGGCGGGGACGGCGTCGACGACGACGACGCCGACGACGGCGACACCGCCGACGACGGAGAATTCTCTCTGGGATCCGAGGGCCTCTGCGCTGGCCCGGGGCGGGATGTGCCACCGCAGGAGGGCCACGGCGCGCATGGCGTCCAGGAGGCCGTTTTCTTGGACCGGCGGCGGCGGCGGTCCGAAAATCGGCTCGTCCGCACCGTCCGTTGTAAGGTTCCTCGGGGCTGTTTGGGAGCCTCGTGAAGCCTCGTTCGGGCCTCCTGGGTGCCTCTGGGGGGTCTCCTGGGGCCTCTTGTGTCCCCTTTGGGGCCTCCCGGGGCCCTGTGGAGGCGGGAGGCTCGAATTTCTGGTTCGCGGTTCCCCTCTTGGAGCCCTCTTGGTGCCGTCTTGGGCCTCTCTTCGCCCGTCTTGGGCGCGTCTTGGGCCGTCTTGGGGCCCTCCAGAGCCGTCTTGAGGCCCTCTTGGAGGCCTCTTGGGCTGTCTTGGGGCGTCCGCGGGGGGCCTGTGAGCCGTCGTGGAGCGTCGGAAAGCTGAAAAGGCAGGAAAAACAAAATGTATCCAAAACCTTTATAAATGAGCGATTTTGGCCTCTTGGGGCCCTCTGGGGGGGCGGCCTCTTGGAGGCCTCTTGGAGCGTCTTCGGGGCCTCTTTGGCCGTCTTGGGGTTATCTTGGGGGCCTCCTGGGGCCTCTTGGGGCCCGGCTCGAATTTCTGGTTCGCGGTTCCCCTCTTGGAGCCCTCCTGGGGTCGTCTTGGGCCTCTCTTCGCCCGTCTTGGGCGCGTCTTGGGCCGTCTTGGCGCCCTCCAGAGCCGTCCTGAGGCCCTCTTGGAGGGCTCTCGGGCTGTCTTGGGGCGTCTGCAGGAGGCCTGGGAGCCGTCGTGGAGCGTCGAAGAGCTGAAAAGGCGGGAAAGGCAAAATGTGTCCAAAACTTTCGTAAAATTACACATTTTGGCCTCTTGGGGCCCTCTGGGGGGGGCCCTCTTGGAGGCCTCTTGGAGCGTCTTGGAGCCTCTTTGGCCGTCTTGGGTTTATCTTGGGGGTCTCCTGGGGCCTCTTGGCGCCCCTTTGGGGCCTCTCTGGGCCCTGTGGAGGCGGGAGGCTCGAATTTCTGGTTCGCGGTTCCCCTCTTGGAGCCCTCCTGGTGCCGTCTTGGGCCTCTCTTCGCCGGTCTTGGGCGCGTCTTGGGCCGTCTTGGGGCCCTCCAGAGCCGTCTTGAGGCCCTCTTGGAGGCCTCTTGGGCTGTCTTGGGGCGTCTGCGGGAAGCCTGTGAGCCGTCGTGGAGCGTCGGAAAGCTGAAAAGGCGGGAAAGGCAAAATGTATCCAAAACCTTCGTAAAATACACGATTTTGGCCTCTTGGGGCTCTCTGGGGGGGCCTCTTGGAGGCCTCTTGGAGCGTCTTGGGAGCCTCTTTGGCCGTCTTGGGCTTATCTTGGGGCCCTCTTGGCGCCCTCTTGGGCCGTCTGGGAGCCATCTTGGGCGTCTTGGATCGATCGTAAGCGTCTCGAGGCACGCTTGGACCGTCTTCGGCGCCTCTTGGGCCGGACAAGGGCGCTCCCGGAGGCCCGATCCTCCCATGGGGGGTTGCGGTCCCGGCCAGGGAGCCCCCGGCCCTGTAGCCCGGTGTGTATATATATATATATATATATATATATTATATATGTATATATATATGTATATATTAATATATATACAACATATAATACATACATACCATCATACATACATACATACTTACATACATACCTACACTACATACATCATACACAGACAGGATACATACATACATACATACATACATACATACATACATACATACATACATACATACTTACTTACTTACTTACTTACATACATACACTACATACATACATACATACATACATACACACATACATACATACATACATGCATACATGCATGCATGCATGCATGCATGCATGCATACATACATACATACATACATACATACATACATACATACATACATACATACATACGTACATACATACATGCATGCATGCATACATACACAAGTGTACATGTTGAGCAATGCACA